GCAGCTGGGAAGGGAGAGAGAGTAGAGAACACAGCAACCCTCTAGTCCATTCATCTTCTCCAGCAGATAGCTTCCCCAAACTGTGAGTCAATCTTAAAAGCCTTCAGCCCTGTGCAGCAGCAGATACGGCTTATTTACAAAGTCACTATTTAAATGCTGCATATTGCTTTAGAAGAGCCCATGAAATATAATGTTGACACAGGAAAATGTTTGCTACTGCTGCTGCTAGATAAATGCTACAGTAAATACCAGGGCAAAAGACTTTCAAAGCTGCCTTCGGGATTTGGACACTGAATTCCTATTCATTTTAACAGGAGTCCAATTTAACTCCTTAGATAGCTTTGAAAAATCTCAGCTAAGAGAGCAATTTAACCATGAAAGCACCAGTTAAAAGAGCACACCGTGCGGCCCAGTTCCACCCAGGTTTCCACTGGTGAAAAACCTTGGAGCATAGTCCCTGCCAATTTTCCCTCCTCCACGTGAAACATCTGCTGAGGTGGGAAAGTCCTGTGGCAATGGAACTCTACTGCAATCTCCCTTGCATTTGGAGGAGCTGTATGGAGCCCAGCTGCTCTCAAAAGTGGGCAGTGCTGACCAGGAACGCAAACTGGCAGTGCATCTGGGAAATGCTATGATTCAGAAGACCCTCTCAGCACCTTCTACTGACCGGGCTCCTATGAAGGACAGCAAACAAAACAATACCTGCACTCCACAGCGGTCAGTCCTCAACACTTGTTATATTTTACATTTTCCCAGACAGCTTATCAGTGTCCAAGTTCATTTGCTTCACTGCTCCAGGCAAATGGATCTCCAGGGCCCCAATGAAGTATCAGGAAGTACCCAAGGCACTTCAGCTTCTTCCTGCCATCTCAACTGGAGGAAGCAAAGTCTAGTGGTTAGAGCAATGGCCATGTGTGAGGAGCTCCGGGGTCTATTCCTAGCTCTGTCACCAATATGCTGTAGGGCCTTGGACAAGTCACTCAGCTGCTCTGTGCCTTATGTTTCCCAGCTGTAAAATGGGGACTATTTAATGAAATGTTTGAAGGGGTTTTGATTGTATCCTCCATATGAGGACACAATCTGTACAAATTATTAAATTTGCCAATGTTCATTCTGGCCCCTTGGAGGTCCATGTACCCTACTTCAGGAGCAAACTAGGAACTAACAGTTGAATGGGGGAGGGAGGAAATCCACACTCCCAACACACACTTTCCCTTTATTATTGTCTGAAAGAATTAAAGGTTATTTCTCCTTTCAGACCAAAACAATCTCAGGAAGAGTTAACCAGTGTGAGAGGAACATGCGATAAAGTAAGCAACTGTAAAAACTAAATTAAGGAAAAACCACAGAGGGACAATTAAAGACTCATTTTTAATTCACTTTAAATCAGTATAACTAAAAATGCTCCATCCTGCTTCAGGGGGCGAAGCCAGCATCTGCCGAGCCACAGGCAGCCTTGCCAGCTCTGTAGACAGAAGTTCCTCACAGCACATTGGTTGCACATTTATAAACATGCACCTCCTGTGGGGAGACTGTTGCCTTCATGGAGAGCAGAAGAGAGGGGACTTTAATGGTTTCTCTGCCCCACCTCAAAATGTAAAACACTAGTCCAATCAAAAATGAATTTGCCCAACAGACGGAAGCTTAGAAATAGCATCATCTCCCCTCCTGTATTTGGATTACGGTAATAAAGAGAGTTAAAATAATTTCACATTCAGTTATGTACAATGATGCTGAGAAGCAATCAAAAATGAAGGAACAAACATTACTATCCACAGGACTAGTGGCAGCGGGAGCTCGCTCGCATATTTTGGTGTGTCACACCTTTCTCCTACCCCACTTCCCTTGTGGAAGGCTGGTGAACCGTCCTCTTTAGACCGCAACATTTAAAATAAGAAGTCACATTTTTGTGCTTCCCATAAAATAAATAAATAAATAATAAATAAATAAAAGCTCTGTCCTTCCAGTCTCAGACAACGAAAGCAAAGAAATTACATTATGATTCCACTTTCACGGGATTAGAAAAACTCTTTATGGAGAAACTGTCCTATATATATATATATAGACTCGGCTAAGATTGGCTGTACAAAGTCAGACCACTATTCTATGCTCCTTCAACCCTAATATTTAGGTGTAAAGTTATGAAGAAATGCAAGAGAGTTGAACTGATCTCTCTTAGTGTGACTAAGTCAGGTTTTAAAACCACCAACCCTACACAAAATATGAACCAGGGATGTATCTTAAAAGCCTGCTTCTCACCCACTATTAGCTGTTTGCATTTGCACAGACTCTTGGAGTCATGAAGCTCTCCACAAGCATTCCATTCTGCAGAACATTCCTTAATTCAGTCCACCTGAATGTCCAACAGACAGTTGAAAAATAGCAACAACTAATGGAGAGTGGATCTTCCCTATTGAGATTTCTGGAACTGCGAGTATTCAAAAAACTACAAATAAACTAGAGCAATACATAGCACCACAGAAACAGTGGAAAGGACTTATTCCATGTCAGGCCTCTCTCTGGTTCCCCCTCATGCCTGGATGGTTCCCCACAGGAACCTAGCCTCAGTTTCCCCTCCTTCCTAATGTCAATCCATATGCTCCTGAAATACACTTTCTTGGGTTGAGGACCCTTGTCATGGGGTAACTTATTACATGTTTAGTTTGGAAAAGAGAAGACTGAGAGGGGACATGATAGCAGTTTTCAGGTATTTAAAAGGGTGTCATAAGGAGGAGGGAGAGAACTTGTTCACCTTAGCCTCTAAGGATAGAACCAGAAACAATGGGTTTAAACTGCAGCAAGGGAGGTCTAGGTTGGACATTAGGAAAAAGTTCCTAACTGTCAGGGTGGTTAAACACTGGAACAAATTGCCCAGGGAGGTTGTGGAATCTCCGTCTCTGGAGATATTTAAGAGTAGGTTAGATAAATGTCTATCAAGGATGGTCTAGACAGTATTTGGTCCTGCCATGCGGGCAGGGGACTGGACTCTATGACCTCTCGAGGTCCCTTCCAGTTCTATAATCTATGAATCTATGTCTCAAAGACAAACTACACTCTGATTAATGTAACTCAAAACACCCCCGAGTCTGCCACATTTTTTCCCCACTCGACACTTCTTCAGTCTTTCTTCAAAGAAGGCAATAACAATGTCCACCCACTTTGGGCTTAATACAAGTCCTGTGCCTCCTGGGTTCTCTCTCTGCTCCCTCTCTCTTCTTCAGGACAGCACACAAGGTGCTTCCTTTGGCCTTCCCTCACCGAAGCACTCAAAGAGATCATTAGCAAACGTCTCCTCTGCCATCTGCAAGTCCTTGGCTTTCTTCACGCTAAGTTCTCTCTCAATTCTCTGACCCTTACACAGGACAGTGGCCACAGGGCTGCTCCCCTGAGCCTTCCTTCCTGGAGTTTTTCCCCTGCTCAAGGGTCTGCCTGCAGATTCTCTCTTTTCCCAGCCATTTGCTGCAGCTCTTTATAAGGAGCACCTACTCCTTTCATAGCCATATCTGATTAATGACTTGGGCTGGCTGGCTCCAGGCATCTGGCCCTTAAAGGGGCATGCCACCCTGTTACGGGGCTCAAAAACCTTGTGGCACTAGATAGTAAACTATGAAAGTGAGACTGCATTTGAAACGTGGTCAGAGGCGGGCAGAGGGCAGGTAACTACTGTGCAAGCTTCCTTCACACACCTCTGCCAATGCAAGTCACAGTAGAGATGCAACACCCCTGGCTATTCCAGTCCCGGGTCTCTCTTGAGGAGCGATTGTGGACTGTATTTATTGGTGAGGAGTTTTGGTTGGAAGCAGGAGAAACAGGAATGGGAGAAGAGAGATTTTAAGAAAGTGTGTGTGTGTGGGGGT